GCTGTGCTGCTTCCCAAGGACAAAAACCTTGAGGCAGTTTGTTATGAGAGCCTAGTGCTTAGTCTGCTCCCTTGTTCTTTGTTTACTTTGAGAACGTGCATATGTGCTTACTAACACTTGCCCTAGCTAGCAGAAAATAAAAGACCTTGCAGGGCAGCCATCTGGGCTACACCCAGCACAGAGGTGTCAGCCCTTCGCTGGTACTAAACCACATTTCCCATGTTTTTATTTCTCCCCGCACTGTCACGGAATGGTACAGGACTACAGGACTCCTGGATAGTTTTCCTTATCCAGTTCCTCTCTTGTTCTCTTTGGCAGAACTTGGAGTGCGGGGTGACCTGGTGTCCGTCAAGAAATCCGTGGCCCGTAATCAACTCTTTCCTCAAGGACTGGCTGTCTATGCATCCCCTGAAAACAGGAAGCTTTTTGAGGAAGAGAAATTGGTACGCTCAAAGGAAGGCAAGAGGAACTTGGAAGACTAAGAAAAGATCGTTTGAATTTTATGTTTAATTTGAAAATGAATTAGAGACTGGAAGACCAGAATTCCAAAGCCCAGCCATGCCTAGTGTACTAAGAGGGTGATATTTAATTACCATGAGCTCGTTTCCTTCTGCTTGTTTCTAACCTTCACCTTCTTTTGCAGCTGAGACAAGAAGGAAAATTGGAGAAGCTGCAGACCAGGGCAGGTGAGGCGGTGAGTATAGAAAGAGAACATCTTTACTCCTCACAGACAGGGGTCACCAGTGTCTTCCTCACAGGAGAAAGATGAAGTGTTGGGGGGCTGCTGTGAGAGTGTGGGGACTTCCTAGCAGACCCTGACCTGGGAATAGGCCCTGTCCTGAGCATAAGGAACCCATGAAAAAAGGAGATGAGGATTCTGCCCTCCAAGAGATTTACATATACGATGGAGATGGCAGGTGGATATGATGATCAGTAAACTCAAGGCAGTAAATTATTAAAATAATGGGGACCATAGTAGACTCGGGTGATTGGAGAGGGCTCTGTATAACAGAAGACATTGAATTAAGCTTTAAATCAGGAAACTTTTAATAAGAAAGAGTGAAAAGATGTAACTTAAAACTTTAAGTCCTATTTTGGCATAGAAAGTATATTAGTCTGTGGTAGAAAACCCGTCCCCCCTCTGCCTTCCCCCAGACTGTAACTCGTAGACACCCTTCAACCCTGGGACTGACCCCACTCCTGGAGCAAGATTACCTTTTCAGTCAAATATAAACAGGCATACAAAGTAAACATTGCAGCTGAGAGGAATGTGCTCTTTAGAATAACCAACCACACGAGACCAAGAGCAGCAGTGGTCCCAAAACAAAGTTCAGAGGGTAGAAAGGATGGGCACCGGCGAGGAAGTGGGAAGAGTGCTGCTAGACCGACGGCATTGCAACTGTCATCACAAAGCAATAAAATGGGTATCAGTTGTGAATGGGAAACCAACGTGCTTTGTAAACTTGTAAGCTTTTCCCCAGACCATGATAAAATGTTTAAAAAGATGGACCTATCTAGTTAACACAGACAACTTAAACAGTATATTTGGAAACCTGGGTGGGGCCAACAACTAGGTTTCTAAAACATCTCAAATGCTTGGTTAATATGTTTTTATCTCCTGTAAGCAAGAAGAGCCCCTGATAATGTTGGGGAAGCATTGTAGGGCCAGAAGGAGTGGTTTAAAACAACCTATAAATGTACGTTTTCTGCAGCCAATTAAGCCGACTGTCCTCATTCCTGTGGGGGCCAGTGTGCAATGGCTGCGAACAGCATCCCTCCTCGGTAGTGTACACAGCCTGTTGGCATGTACAGGCTGCCCTAAGGGACTTTGGTGACAACCCTTTGCTGCTCTTTGATGGCTCTGATCTGGCTGATTTCTGCTGTCCCTAACCTAGCCTCCAGACTGGGATGCCAGGTGTTTTGGGAAACCCCAAGGCATGGTGGCTGAAGTCTGCATCGGCCAGGTTATCATGTCCATCCGCACCAAGCGTAAAAACAGGAGCATCTGATTGAGGCCTTACACAGGGCCGACTGCTCGTGTGCTGGCCGCCAGAAGACCCACCTCTCCAAGAATGGGGCTTCACCAGGTTTAATGCGGATGAATTTGAGGACATGGTGGTCGAGAAGTGCCTCATCCCAGATGGTTGTGGGGTCTATTATATCCCCAGTTTATCTGGGCCTCCACTGACTAGACTCTTTCCTTGCTTAAGATCAGCCAAGTTGTAAGTGCATTTCCCCATGAGGTTTTGCTAAAATATTTTCCCATGATAATCAGCCTTGAGATAAGAATGTTGTAGCAAAAAAAAAAGAATGTTGTAGCCTCCCTGATCATTTCTCACCTGTCTGAGATGTTAGGCAGAAGTGAATGCCCTTTTCTCGAACTCTTAGACTTTGTGCCTTTTGCTAACATGTTTTCTTCTCCTTTGATTCCGCCTCTAACCCAGCCCCGACTTGTCATTTCCCTCAGACAGTGAAATTTCTGAAAACCTGTCGCTTGGAAGTGGGGATGAAGAACAATGTGAAATGGGAGCTGAACTCTGAAATTGTGGCCCGCCAATTCAACAGGAATGTGAGTGCTCCACCCAACTGCCACTATTCAGAGGGGCACTCGGAGAACTTGAGTCTCTAACTATCCTGCTGGAGTTAGCCATCTCAGTTGGTTTGTAAGGGTGTCGGAGGGAAATGGCTGGAGACGAAGCTTGGTCACATAGAATTTGAAGACTGGTCTGTTTCATTTATTTCCTCTCAGATGTGGGGGTGGGGTGGGGGGTGTACTGTGGAGATGTAATTGATTTACTGGAGAATTTTCACTTTTGTGGACAAAGCCATTTTGGTCTTAAATCCTGTTTTGCTGTAAGAATTGACTTCTCCCTGTCATCTTGTCAGCTTCTGTCTGTGTCGGCCCATAGGGTCAACCCAGGTATACTCCCCAGTGACTGGACTCAGTAAAGGAAATTCGAGAGCATGCTTTCTGGTGCTGCTTAGGAGGGCAGCCATGAGAACAAGCATTCATTCCGCCCTGGCTTCTTGCAGCTTGGTGTTGTGGTAGCTCCCCATGCAATCAAGTTACCAGAAGAGTCCATCACACGGTGGGGCGAGTATTGGTGTGAGGTAACGGTGAGTTGTCACGTGCTGCCTCCTTTTCTGATTGGGTGGAAATCCAGGGTTGCATGGTGTTACCTCTCGTGCATTCGTTGGCATCTGACGTTCTTTTGTCTACAGGTAAATGGACTTGACACTGTGAGGGTGCCCATGTCTGTGGTGAACTTTGAGAAGCCTAAGACCAAAAGATACAAGTACTGGTTAGCCAAGCAGGCAGCCAAGGAAATGGCCTTCCAGAGCCCCCAGATGTTCTGACCTGCCTCTGCCCCTGGCAGCCAGATGCTTTCAAGACGAGGTTCTGCAGAGCAGAATCAGGAGAGGTGGCAGGAAGATGGAGCAGCACGCTGACCGCACTCTCACCTCGGAATAACTACAGGATTTTAGAGCGCGTATAGGGACATCAGACTAAACTGCACATACATGCTGAATTATCCGTGTTTGTCATCTTTCATGTACTGTCTTCACACGTCTTTATTGGGATAATCCTGCTGAGAATGCACCAAACTGCAGTTTGCTTAGCTGGACAGCAGTGGACTGAAGCCATCTAAAGCCCCCGTAGCCTCTTCCCAGGTGCAGCCCTCTGGGACAAATAGGAGGAGCTCTCAGTGTCCGGTGTCTGACTTGTTCTCCTCACCTAAGCCAAGCACTTGTTTCTCCAGCGAATAAGAAGTTACATTCTTTGTAGGGTTGGCGACTGGGCTTTGGGATGAGAGTAGGCTGGGGCAGGACATCCAGTGAGGAAGAGTATGTGTTGGCAGGCTACCCCCACAGTTACATAGAGCAGTGGTTCTCCACCTTCCTCATGCCGCGACCCTTTCATACCGTTCCTCATGTGGTGGTGACCCCAACCATAACATTATTTTCGTTGCTACTTCATAACTGTCATTTTGCTCCTGTTAGGAATCCGGTGACCCCTTTCAAAGGTTGAGAACGCCTGGGCTAGAGGGGGTTCAAACCTCTGAGCTTGGGGCCAGCAGATCTGTGTTTAACCCATAACGTAACTAGGGCTCTTGTGAGGCTGCTGTCTAGGAAAGTGAAGGGGCATGGAATCCAGAGATTGCATTGTCCTGCTGGAGCCCACTGACAACCATTTCAGCATTGTCCTCCAAACCACTAGGTTCCTAGTTTCTTGACACGTGAAGGCTGATGACGGCCAAAGCTTCATGGTAAGACATTCCCCCATTTTGGGTCAGTGGGAGGGATGATAATGGGGAGGAAAAACACCCTACCCCCTTCTTCTCAGACCCATGTTTTTCACTTGGAGCACAGCTTGAAAGATCGCAGTTAATCTATGAGTCTAATCAACAGCAGGTTCAGTTGTACCTTCAATAGGCTGTTCCATTGCTTTATTCACACATACGTGACCATCTGTATAGAAATCCTTAAGGAATATACAAGACAAAATATAGAACTAGTTTAGCAGTGTCACTAGACACGGACAAAAAATTCTGTTTTTACAAAAGCATCGCAAATAATACTTGGGGAAACATTTAACATGGGTGCAAGAGCTGTTTAAGGAAAACTGGAGAACATCGCTGATCGTTGGCTTTGTGTCAACCTAGCTGGACCTGCGTCTCAGTGGTTTTGCAGCTTATGCCAGGTGGTCCCTGTGATGGGACATAGTCCAGGTTAGTCAGCTCCAGAACAGGACCTGCTGAGCAGCCACCTGGTTACAAAACTAACCTGGAATGCAGGTCCTTTATTCAGGTTGCAGAACCGGTGAAGTTTTCTCAAGGCTCTAGCCTACTTCCTATATAAGTAGACTGCTTGCTTTTCGTTGGAGCTCGACCCTGCATCTGCCTCACTGACCTCTAGTTATTTGATCTCTCCACCCCCGTATTGCCTGCCAACTTGGAGTCATCAGCTGACCTGACCTTGGGTTAACAGGACTGGCTGACCTTGAACGTGTTCACCTCTGCATCTACCAACCTGTGGTCTTAGGGATTTGGCTTCCTGGTTCATCTTCCTGCATCTGGACCACAGACTTAAACCAGACTAGTTACTGCTTCTAAAATTGTGCAGGCCGTTTATATGGCGAGATAAGTAGGTAGAGATTAAAAAATTAAAACTGGTTTTACTTCTCTAGAGAACCCAGCCTAACACAACCACCAATAGAAATTATGATCTAAAGAAATGAAAATACTACTAGAACTGATGATGTATTTACAACTCTTTAAAAAGTTATTTAGCCATGGAAATGTCTATGTGAATATCAAGCAAACCAGACTTGTTCAGTCTATGCAGCGCAAATTATTAGAGGAGCTGGGTTATATGAATAATGGGGAAAGAAAGGGTTCTGGCTTAGGGGGCACTGAGGTCATGCCACTGGTGGTGGGATAGGAAAAGGATCTCAATCAGGGTTGTGCAACACAGTGTATGATCAATGGCACTGAATTATACATGTAGAAGTGGAATTGAAGAATGCTTTGTTGTGTATATTTTTGGCCACAATTAGAAAAAAAAGTATAAGAAGAAAATGTTCTAGAATTGAATATGGTGGTGATAATGGTACAACTCTTCTTGATATGATTGAATTATTTAATTGCATGACGTGGATGAAGGGCTAATAAAACTTTTAAAAAATGAAAATACCATGTTTACAGATCAGAAGATCCTTAATGTCATTTCTCCCCAAATTGATCAATACAATGCAATTCCATCAGGCTTCTGTGTAGCAATTAACAAACTGACTCTAAATTCACATGGAAATGCAGAGAACCTTGTTATTGTTAAGTGCCATCGCAGGCTCTGACCCTTAGCGACCCTTTTCACAACAACAGCCCTGCACCATCCTCACAGTTGTTCCTGTGCCTGAGCCCATGGCTGCAGCCACAGTGTTGATCCATCTCGTTGACGATCTTCCTCTTTTCCGCTGCCCCCCTTTACCAAATATGACATCCTTCCCCAGGGACTGGTCTCTCCTGACAAAGTACGTAAGCAGAAGTCTTGCCATCCTTGCCAGATCGGTTTGTCCTTTTAGCACTCCATAGTACTTAATGTATGGATTCTCCTACAGCCTTCCGTACTCAGTGTCCTACTCACAGGCATTCCGTACTCAGTGTCCTACTCACAGGCAATGGAGAACACCATGGCTGGCACCCATCAGACACTAGTCTTCAAAGGAACATCCTTACTCTTCCCCCACTCTGAAGAGGTCTTGTGCAGCAGATTTACCTAATGCAATATATATGTTGATGTCTTTACTGCTGCTCCCATGAGCATTAATTGCGGATTCAAGTACGCCAAAATCATTGACTGCTCTAACCTTTCCTCCCTTTATCCTGATGTTCCCTATTGGTCCGGTTGTGAGGCTTCTGATCTTCCTTACGTTGTGTTGTCATCCTTCTGAAGGCCACAGGCCTTGATCTTCGTCAGCAAGTGCCTCCAGTCCTCACTTTGAGCAGGCAAGGTTGTGTCATCTGCACACCACAGGTGGTTAGTACACTTTCCTCCAATCCTGATGCCGCACTCTTCTGCATATAATCCAGCTCCTCTAAGAATTTGCGCTGCGTACAGATTGAGCAAGTCTGGTGAGAGGATGCCTCTCTGCTGTGCACAGCATGGTGTCTGATTCATGGCCATGTGACTAATGATAGAAGGAAGACCAAAGACACTGTCACAAAGTCCTGACTGGTAACAGACTGATTCGTCACCATTGAAGTGTGACCACAGACGCCGGAAGAGAACAGGATTGGGTATGTGCACTATTTGAGACAAACTTATTTGTCCCTAAAGACTCAAGTCCATTTCAGTTTTACTTTTTTTTAAGCCACTCCAACCACTATTTAGGTTTGACAGTTAAGGAATCTGGACAGATTTGTTTTCGGTTTTTAAAGAAATACACTGTATATATTTACCTAGCCCATCTCAAGAAATGAAATCAACAATAATAATCTGTTAAACCACCTGTATATGTGGTTCTCTTTCCCACCCCCCACTCCGCCCCATCACCACCACCCTGCCCTGATCATCCCCATATGTGTACGATACTGCAGATTTGAAACTTTTACTGGATTCGGTCGGGGACTGCTGACCTTTGATTCTGAGCATGATTTGTCACCAAGCAGCCTGTACTTGATAGTTTCCACTAAGGAAATGCCTCGACGGCCCCTTTCTGGGCTGGCTAGAGGGCATACCAGCATATTCTTTCCCACTTTGTGAGAGTACCCTTGGGACCCTCTGATGGAACATAATTATCTGATGAGGTTTGGGGGCCCCACCCACACCCTCCCAGCAGCCAGTGACACCCCATCCCATCCCTGCAGAGGCACTGCTCTGAGGTCATAACCACATCCTCATTCATCAGGCTGTGTACCTGGTTACCACCCTGTGTCTGGAAGTCTATGACCTCCCACTCATCAGACCAGCAGAATTGCAACGTGGGACAGGAGGCCTGTCTCAGGTCACCCTGGAGGGGCAAGAATGCTTATAACCATCTACCCTGCCTCCAGCTGTCTCTCTTCATTACCCCAAATAGCTCTGTCCAGGAACACGTACCCTGACCTTAGTTACATTCTGAGCTAGCATGAACTACTTCCACATCAAGTAAATGGGATATTTCCAGTTAAACAACTTATGAAAAATCAGACCAACCTTCTAAGAGATACTGAAGGGAGTCCTTTGGCTGGAGAACCAGCAACAGCAGACAAGGATTTGAGATGAACACACATGATAACCCCTGGAGGAGTCGATCCAGATGGAGGAATGGCCAAACAAACCTACAAAGCTGACAATATGGAACCAGAAATGCCAATTAGTGATGGAGACAATCACCAAGTGAAAAGAGTTAGAGGACACAGAGTGGAGAAGTCGAGCAGATTTCAAGCTGGAACAGACTGTACCAAAGTGGTTTCCCATCCTCTGCCAAACAACACAACACTCCCCGTCTCGTTCCAGCTTCACAAATGTTTTGATGCAGCCACGGTGTCAGCGCTTCTCATTGAGAGTCTTCCTCTTGTTCGCTGCCTGTCTACTTCACCAGGAGGATGTCTTTTCCAGGCACTCCTCTCTCCTGATAACGTGTCCAAAGGGTGTAAGGTGACGTCTCATCATCCTTGCCTCCACGGGCACTCTTGCTGTGCTTCTTCCAAGACAGAGACGCTTGTGACAGCTCATGAATGTTCTTCATCAGCACTACAGCTCAAGTGTATCAAATATGCTCCAGTCTTCCTATTCAAGGTCCAACTTTCACATGAATGGGAGGCCATTGAAAATACCATAGCCTGGGTCTACCTTAGTTCTCAAAATAACATCTTGTTTCTCAACACTCTAAAGAGGTCTTGTGCAGCAGATTGACTCAATGCAATGTGTCTTTTGATCTCTTGACATCTGAGCATTGATTGTTACTTCAAACGTATCTCCACTTATCTGGTATTTGGTACATCGCAAATACCTTTTTCAACAACACAAATAGCAGCTAGACCCTAGG